AATAAATAAAGACATTATTACTATTATATAGATAAATTCATATAGAATAACTGAAATAAATATGTACTAATATAAGCAAATTAAAATACAAAATATGAACTAAATACTTAAGAAAAAAGTACAAAAATGACCCAATTTCGAACCACATGCATTTAGTTTCAAATTAGATACATATATTTTTTTTTACTTCTATTAATTGGCAAAATAATTTCAATAATTCATTTCTTTGCAAAATAAGTCTGATGTTGATCAGAATGACATGTAAGATATATCATTTTTTGTAAGTTATGGATAAGCATAATAAAAGAGTAATTTTGATAAAACTAACATTTATGATAAATTATAATAAAATGTAGTTGATGCATTAAGATATTATTGCAAGGATTTAGAGCATGTTGGTTTATAATTTTTTTTTTTTTATTTTGTTTGGATTTTTTGATTTGGTTTGGTTAATTTTGAAAAAGGTGATATGGTTAGTTGTTAGTGGGTATATCAAAATAATATTTAAAATAAAATAATTAAAATTGATTTGATGTAAAAGTAGGAGAGAGAGTTTTGAAGTGATGGTTAGTTGAATTAATGTGAGTGGATGAATAGTGAATTAAAGTTGATGTGGTGTGCATGAATGATTGATTGCTATTATTTAATTATATTGATAATTTTGATGATAGTGGGTTGAGTTAAAGTTGAGCTAAAAAAAGTGGTTGAGTTAAAATGTTAGAAATTTTTTGAAAAATTCCATAAACAAACATGGTCCATAATACGTACTCTTCATTTTCTTAAGAGAAAATTATGTATTATAATAACAAAATTTCAACAATAATTAATACATTATGCTATTTCATTCATAAAAAAATTGTGGATCAATAAACAAACTAAAATAAGGGCGATCACTTTAGTCACAAACTTTTAAATGACCACAAACTTATACATATATGATATAAATGATATCAACTAAATAAAATAAATTAAACAAACTATTTATTTTGGACTCAGTTGTTCAATCAATTAGGACCAAAATTATATGAAATGTCTCATATAAAACACAATTTCCACGTAATAATTGAAAAAAAATATATATATGGTCTTATTCAGTCTTCACAAGCAAAATAATACAATCATTTTTTCTCTAACTTATGGTTGAGACTCCCTCTCTCTCTCTCTCTCTCTCTCTCTCTCTCTCTCTCTCTCTCTCTCTCTCTCT